TGAAATAGAAAATAATAATGATAAAGAAGATGGAGAAAGAGTATGTGCTCAATCTGCGAAGTACATGAAGTTCCCCAGACATTTGCCAATGAGGTCAAGGGATCCAACATAATCACGAGATGACCAAATAGTTGTTTTCCTTCTTTATACTATTTTTTGCTAACTAATAGTGGTAAACTAGAGTGCTACGAAAAGGCCACTAAGGTTGAAGATTAAAAAAATTACAAGTTTATCACAGATGATGAGATGCAGTCATTGATGTTAAATCAGACATGAAATTTGACATAATTATCAAATGACAAAAAGACATTACACAACAAGTAGATCTATCGACTTAAAGAAGAGTTAGATAGCAACATATGCTACAAAGTAATGCTAGTTGTTAATGGGTTTTAACTAAAAAAAAATGGAATGAACTACACTGAGATATTTTTCTTGTGCAGTGAAGATGATAATTATTAGAGATGTCATGAGTCTAATGGCAAGGGAATATCAAAATTTGGAGTAAACTGATGTAAAGAAAATATTCTTACATAGTGACCTTGAAGAAGAACTACAAAGATATGGTGCACCTGTAAGGTTATGATGCTTTAAGAAAAGAAGGTTTGGTCTGTAAGTTGAAGAAGAGCCTCTATGATTTGAAACATGCCACAATATAGTGACATAGGATGTTTGATAGGTTTATGTCAGTTAGTTGGTAAGATATGAAGAACATTAAGGACTTGAATGAGCAATTATTAAGAGAATTTGAGATGAAGGATTTATGTCCAATCAATAAGATCATCAATCTGAGAATCAAGAGGAAAATGAGTGCAAGTATAGTGAAGTTATCTAAGGCAGTGTATGTTGAGAAGGTCATAAAAATGTTCAATATGAGTGAGATAAAACTAGTGTACATTCACTTTGACTATAACTTCAAATTTTCTTTGGAACTATTATTTAGCTCTGAAGCAGAGCAAGTAAATATGAGAAGAACTTTGTATACATTGACTATTGGAAGTCTAATGTACACTTTGATATGTATGAGACAAAATATTATAAATGTAGTGGGAGTGGTCAAGAGGTGCATAAGAAATCCTGGCTATAAACAAGACACTTTATTTTGAAAGTGCATGAATTGATCTACAAAGATATATAGTTTCAGTTATTGCATCAAATATATATGATAGAAGAAGTACAACATGAAATATCTTCACTTCGATAAACACATCAATGATTTTAGTTTCCTGGTTATAAAAGATTGTTGTACTTTAGCTGCCGAGTTTTAAAGTAAACCTGGACAAGGTATAAAGGATTAGAAATATTCATAGTGAAAGTATGAGAATTATTCATCAAGCTCAAAATGATGTTTTTCATGTCAGGAAAGAACATATTCAGTTGAGGTATTATTTTATTATTTATCTTCTAAGAGATGAACAATTATTCTTGGAGAATATACACACAGCTCAAAATCATGCATATGTGTTGGCTAAGGTGATAGACATATCAAATTAAACAACTGTGTATTGTATATTTAAAACCTAAAACAATTCTATTTACAAAAAAAAAAACATTTAACACTTTAACATCAAATCAAAAATATCATTATTACTGAAACCAAATAGCTACAATTGCAAATATCAAATTTTAGGTGTTAGTTATGTAAGTACACAAGATTTGATTGGTATGTATGTCAGTTTCCTTATATATATATATTTGAATAGAGACTAATAATTTAATTATTCTTTGTTTTAAGTCAAGGTTATTAAAACCTGACAATATTATTAAGCCTTTAATAAATCCCAATATTATGATAGAAAATATAAAAAAATTATGGACATTTTAATTTATTTTGATGCTTGTACAACCATATGTATTTATCTATCGGCAAAAGAGAAGTTATGAACAATAATAGAGTACATAATAAATTAAAAAGAATGCATAATAATAATCTAAAACTAGTCCAATGCACATTGACTAAAGCTGTTGGCTTGAAGTCATAAGATTGTTTTGAAAAATAATATATTTTATTCAACATTATTTAAAACTCAATATAAAATAATATTAATTTAAACTCCATAGATCTTCTTAAAAATAATATAAAAAAAAACTACATTTTTAAATAATTGGTCAACACGACCATGCATGAAACTGCACTCAAACAAATTAACATATGCTCGACATTTACAATGACTTTCAAGATATAATAATCATAAATACGCAAAAATACTTACATGAATGTACAAGTTTTATTTTAAAATTGTAGCATATACGCATCGTGACTTTAAGAGGCATCACGATGCCATGTTAATTTATCTCGCATTTTGTGATGCTGTCTTACAAATATTTAAATAAGTTTAAAAAAAAATGATAGATAATATTTCAAGTATTTAAAATATTAAGTCTTTTTCAAACTATATATAATGGAATGCCTATTTTTATTTTATTTTCATTATGAGAGCATATCAAACTTTCAACATATTTTTCATTTCGGCTCTGAAGTTAAAAGCCTACAACAAAGATATGTTCATCTAATATATTTATTTAATGATGAGAAATGTATTGTTGGGAGAGAGATAAAAATAGATTCGAGAGATACGAAAGTAAATTTTCAATAGGAACCCCCAAAAAAAAAAAAAAAAATTCAAAGAAAATATAAAGAATATAAAATTTAACGTGGAAAAACATAAGAACGGAAAAATGTCATTGAGTCGCACCACATAAAAGAAAAATTCATTATGAACAAAATGAAACGAATTGTACAAATTACATCACAATACTCAAACCTCTCCAAAGTTTGGAACACGTCAGAATGCTCTCCTCATCCCATTTGCACAAGAGAAATCGAAATCACACACATTCCATTTCGGCTTTAAAATTAAAGCCAATGTGAATGATGAGTTTATCCCAAATATACTTTTTTTAATGATGAGATATGTATAAGAATAAGATCTTTTATTATTATTATTATTATTTCAACATAAAGTCGTATATAGAGTAAAATTCATGTTGAAAGTGTTCGACTGTGTTGTATATTGGTAAGAAGTAAAATAAATAATCATGAAATATCCAATTTTAATGCTTACTCGAAATAAAAATAAATAAATCATGGTGTTATCAAGAGCAATCTTACAATAATTAGATTTAGAACATGGAATCCATGCCAAAGAGATGATGAACTAATGTCCTGATTAAGGTAATTTATACTCAACTAAAGCTGGATGAGACAATTTCAAATCAATCGTCTCAGGGTAATATGTTATTTTTCTTTTATTTTTTATTTTAACAAAATCAACTATTTTCCAACTCAAGCTTTTGTATATCGTTTAGGGTATTTATACGCTCACCGTACCACCTTTTAGAATGTTGAATCATAAATTGTCGTTGGGAAATACACCCCTCTAGAGTTGGAGATGAGCTAAGGAGGAGAGAGAGAAAGTAGAGAGGTTAGAGCATTTTAGGTATAGAAGTCGGGGGAAAATATCTCATTATTCATCTTATGCCCCCAATTTATAGAGACCTATTTCTACAATTATATAAATGATGGAATGATTATGGAAATCACCCTTAATGCAATTAATGCACTAATTTAATATCAATTGACAATTTGAGCGCAATACAATAATTATCAGCTGGTCGATGTATTTGAGTTCATTTAATTGGGGTGACCGACCTCGTGATGATCACTATTGTCGAAGTAAGGTTGTTCAGTCTACTAGTTCTCACCGGATGTCCTTGCAAGAAGTTTAGGTACCTGGGACCGCAAGTGTGCTCCACTGCTTAGATCCACCAACATTACATGTCGATTGACTTGATCGAGCGATCGGTAGTAAGATGGATGGTTCAGATTATTCCTCTTCAGCCTGACGCTTCAGTCGCCATCCTTGTTCGTTTGATGGCTATAAGATTTGTGTTGTCAGTTTCAGTGCAAATAGCTAGCAAGACCTTAAGAGACGCTGCCAATCAGCAAAGGTAGATAGGAGTTGGTAGGCCTGATTTAATAAGACTATCAGTTGGCTAGGCTTAGTCTTGGAGATTGGTTGAGTGTTTTATTGACGAAGGGTTGGTGAGATTGCCTGCCACAGTTCCCTAGTTATGCTAACCAATCTGTTGAGTTTTTTTATGAGAAAGAGTTAGTGAGAGTGATTTGGTCGGCTATCTGTGCCTATCAGTTGGTTCAGTGTGACCACATACTCATAATCTCCTTCAAAGAATTTTTGTTGACATGTAAGAGCAAGATTATTGGCAGAAGGTGAACCACTATAATCTTATAGGTAGCTGGAGGTTTTGAAGGATGGCTAATCCTTGGTAATGTTCGAGGGGGCTCTTGTATACCTCCAAGAGAATTGTATGATCTTAGGTGTTAGTTTCCCCCCTTGGGTTGGCTCCATCTTGGGTTTAGGATCTTGGATTCCCATATACTTGGCTACCAGTCGCTCGTTGAATTGCTTGATTGCCTTGGTTAGCTTTGTTCTTGATGTTTTCGATCTGGCTCATAGCCTCTGAGTCTTCTATTAACGAGCCCTCCTTTTAAACAAGCATTATAAAAAAAAATGGAGTGTGCTATCATTTAAGAATTTATAATTCAGTTGAGATTTTTGTGGCCCTAATCATAATAAATAAAAAAATGCAACAATGTGAAGGGCCCTGGATCAATCGGATGAAGTTTTTCGGTCTCCATTTATGGAGCGAATTTCAGTACACAGCACACCAGACGACGAACCACAAGCATTCATGCTCTGAAAGAAAACATAATCCAATTGACGAACCACTATCACAAATGAATTTTGGCTGGTCTATCCAATTTCCAAAGAAGCTTTAGATAGGCTAATTGTAGTACGGCCTGTTTATCTTAGCAATCGGAGAAGATAGATTCGAATCCGAATCTATGGGAACACAGTCAATCGAAACACTGTGCTCAAATGATTTCCAAAATGTCAAACTTGAATATTAAAAGAAGAAACAAAAAAACGTAACTGTACTCAATTTCACGTCATAATCAGCATAAGAACCTGAGCAACTGATAAAAACTAAACCGAGTTAAATTAAAAGAAATTGAGAAAAGTACATAAAATCCTAAATGATTTCCAAATCTCAGGGGCCGTTATCCCCTCCCCCTTTTTTTTTTTTTATTTTTTACGCCTTCAAATCCAGTGAATTAGAAGATTATTATGTAAACCAAAAATTGATTGACCAACTCTGAAAGTGTTTTATTGTTATTAATTTGCATTAACGGCTTCCGCATCATAGCCTTTGGATACGTAGTGCATGAACTCCTCATCCTCGATCAGCGCCGCCATGGTATCCGGAGCGAGACAGACCTCCACATCGACGCTTCCGCCTCCATACCTACCGGGAAAAGCCGAGAACTTGCCGTCGAATTTATTGGCCATGCCGCTTCTCACCGCAACCGGACTCCCCCACCCGAAATCGTTACCTTCGTACATTGGAAACCGCGGAGAACTCCCCATCGTGATGCCCGCGCCGTCAGGGTTCCCTAAAGGAAAGCACCGCGGCGCCGCCTCCCACTCTGCCACGCCTCTCCTTATCTTATCGTCCCAGTGGGCAGCCACGTTCCGGTGAAGAAGCTCCGCAGCCCAGCAGAGCTCTTTTTCGGCCACCTCCCCAACATTTGCCGTCGTCGGGAGGCTCTGTATCGCGTTGCCGAAGTAGAACTTGTCAATTGGCGGCGAAATCCTGTGCCTGCAGTTCACCGCCATTCGGAACGTCGTAGGTGCATCCGGCCGAAGATGCTTTCTAGCCCGCGTCACCGACCGCCACATCTGCGCGCACAGAGACTGGAAAGACGAGATCTCCTCTCCCTCCGCAATCAATTTCTTGTCGTGGATTTGCTTCCCGTACAGCTCCGCGCTGTAGTTAACCTGGCGGTTTGCTCTCAATTTGAGCTCACGAATGGCCGCGCTTGTAAAGCTGAAAATCCTCTCACGAAGCGGCGCACCTACGGAGAAGGTGACCTCGGGTCCAGCTTTTCCGGGGAAACGGATCACAGCCGTGGAATTCCCGAAGAAGTTGCGCCGCAAGTCTGGGGACCGTGAGATCGTTATGGTGTCCGGCGAACGGCAGAGTTCGGCCCATGCGTTGAAGAAATTCCAAAACGAGGTACCGTCGACGACAGCGTGGTTAGCCGTGCAGCCAATAAACAGCGCACCGTCCCCGAGCTCGGTGAATTGAAAGGCAGCGATGGGGCGGAAATGGCCGTCATAGCTGACGGCTCCATTAAGGGCGAACAAGGACTGGACTTCTATGGGGACATCTTGGGCAGGGGGAAGAAGCAGAGGAAGGGATAGAGAAGGGGCGGCGGCATGGACGAATTCAACTCCGACGTCGTTGCAGGAGATGAAGATGCGGCCGTCATCAGGGTTGGTAGTGAGTCTGCCGGCGAGGCCGGGGAAGAAAGAGAGTGCGCGGGAAAGGGATCGAGTGAGAAGGGAGAAAAGGCGGGGGATAGGGATGCGAGGAGGAGAAAAAAAGAGACCTTTTTGGATATAGTAGCATGAAAGCATGGGAAGGTCGGAGACAGAGAGCTTCAGGTCGGCCGCAGTCGATTTCCGGTCAGGCAGCACGGTGCATTTAGTGATAACTTGGACGAGTGATGATTTGTTTGCCGGTAACTGCGATGCGTTGGTGGTTATGATGGTGGCGGCGGAGGAAGGAGTGGTGGAGAGAGAAGGAGACATCGGTCGATCGATATATGTTTCAATTCCCCTAGCTTGGCTTCGGCTTATTTCTTAACTTGATTTGGATCAATTTTCTCTCTTTCTGTCTCTGTTTTTAAGTGGGCAGCTGCGGGGGGGATGAATATATATAGAGAGAGAGGGGAGGGGAGGAGGAGGGTTGGATGCATGCATTTGGGATTAGTTAAGTTGATGAAAGTGCTGTTTTTGGCTGGATGACTTTCATATAATAATCCATTGGCCCCTCGGGTGGTGGCTAATCGTCATTATTTAAATTGATCACCCTCCTTTATGATGACTTAATTGGGCGTTAATCTTAGGTTTGTATTTTAAATTCAGCGAGATGGGATGGGGATTCTGTACCTGGGGGAATGAAGGAGAGATTCAGTCCACCGTCGATTATTTTAACCGCATGGGAGGTGAGGGACGGATGAGACTTCAGAGAAGCAGCTTCAAATTAATACCAATCTCAAGGCTTAGGGTTCGAGTGCATCAAACACCTAAACTTTCATTAAAAGATGACAATGAGTGTTATTTTTTTTTTTATAATATTTGTAATTATGAAAGTTTAAGTATGAGATAGATAAATATGAATGTTTTAAGCCCTTTCTATTTTATTTTAAAAAATTTACACATATACCACACAATTCTTATATATTTTCATATCTGATACTCAAAATTTAATATTTGATATTTTTATTTATAAAATATTGTTATTAAAAATTTATGCATAAAAATGTGTATTTTATTTTTAAAAATTAATGATAGTGATATTTCTCAAAATTTTTAGGATTATATATATGTAAATATATATAGAAGTTTACATGTTAGAGACATAAGTAAATAAGAATTGTGTGCTATAGGAAGAAAATTTAGAAGATTAACCTTACATACTAATTATATGATTTCTATGCACTTACATATCTAATATTTAAATCTATTTTATATTTATAACATTCTATTCTCATGTCAAATATCTCTGATAAAGTTTCAAAAGTTAGGATAAATAAATATTAATCGTTATCTTTAATTAACCTGTAAAATCAAATTAAATTTCTCATATTGTGATTGTGTGAAAATATATATTTCTCGTCGGGAGATTTAATTATCCACATATAATAGTTAAGGAAAGGACATTTTTGACTCTATGGTGGAATCAATAAATAAATAAAATCTAAAGCCAATTCCTATTTTGCTACTTTCATATAACTGAAAGGAATCAGAAGATGCTGCTAAAAAAATTAAAGTAACAGCAAGACCTATTGATGCTGTACCACTCACATATATTGGCTGTTCCAAGAGACAATTTTCTTCAAAATTCGGTGAGCTACATAATTGTTAGACTTGAAATTTTAAAATTATCTGAGAATAGAAGATCTCATTTGATTGCTGACATGACCGTAGATTATTGTGCCCGTCATTCGGATGCCGAGCTGTGTCCAGGCGACGGCCTTGATACTAGCCCGGACGCCCGGCATTCGGACGACGGACGTAATAATTTTTCCAACATGACATAAGATAGAGTTGAGAGACAAATTTGATGGACCGGGCTAAATTTTACGAGTTTTAAATAAATTTTGGGATTGACATAATACTCAAAAGAAGGAAATAATTAATAATATACAAAACTTACATCAAACAAAATTTAAAATTCATTTGATGCGTGCTAGAAAATTTGCGACGGTAGAGTAATGGATTATCGTCTTAGCGTTGCACGAGGATTCAACACACACTCAGATGAAAATAAATCAAGCTGTGATAACATCAGAAGTTTTTACTTGGAAAACCCGTAAAGGGGAAAAGGAGTTACTAGCTTTCCAAGTTACAACGTCGACTGACCACGTCTAGTCAGAGATGGTTGACGGAGATCGGCGATGATCGACGATGGTTGATGATAATCAATGACGGTTGGCAGTAGTCGACGGAGGTCAGCGGTGGCTGACGGCGATCATCAGTGGCCGGCGGTGGTTGACAGAGATCAGCGGTG